GACTGGCTAAAGAACATCCAAAGAGCAGCGATGGGAGATCTAGCTGGTGTGACCCATAAGTAAAGGGTAGCTGAATTAGGGCTGTTAAGCCTAGTGAAAGATGAAGATTGAAGGAAACACACCGGTCACCCCAGCTTATGAAAAAAGCTGCAACGTAGAGTGGCAGAAATAATGGCTTTACATCAAGAAGCCAGATACACATAAGAACTGTCTTTCTGATTGTATATGGATAATTAGGCACTAGGGGAGATGGCCTGGGGAAGCCATGAAGTCTCTGCAAGCAGAAATTTCTCAGGACAGGCTGGACAGGCACATGCCAGGATATTCAGGAAGGCAATAAAGTGTTTATAATTAGTCTTATTCAATATGTTCCTGCAGTTTGCATGTGCTATTGCTGTCTACGTGTAACAGCCACCAGAATATTCTCTTGTATCAATGACACTGTAGACACGGTTTAACCTGACATGTGCAAAATCCAGCAAGTATTTAATTTATTTCGTCTGAGTAGCCAACTCCCCATATAAATACACGAACTCATATTTAGACTGTATTTGCAGCACGACAGAGAAGTACAGAAGAAATATAAGCTCGTTCTGCGATTATGTTCCTGCCTGTTTATTTTGGCATGAGATTTTGGGGTCTGGAAAAGAAGGATGGGTAGCAAGGGGGAGGATCTGTTTGAAAAACATATGTATCTTTTTCAGACCTTGTAAGGCGTCCATCAGGAGCTGCTTATAGCAAGGGCCAGTGAGGGCTGCAGGGAGGGTGGTGGGGTTGTCGTTCAGCAAGCACTGCAGCCACTGGTTCTCACAGGGGCTCAGTTACATGGGAATGCACTGTGGAGTGTAAGGCCACAGCCAGAACCCAATCCCATCTCATGCTGGAAGGAAAAGTGTCCCCCCGTTTGCAGGGCCATGCCAAGGTCTTCAAATCCGGCAAGCTCAAACATTCAGGTTGGGGTCTAGAAATCCGCCCAGCTCTGGAGTCTATTTCTTTTGAAAGGTCTGACTTTCACTGAAAAGGAGAGGTCTGCCAGGAAGGAGCCCACATATGGTTTACATTTGCTGGTTGAGTGTTTAGAAGAGCTCCCCAGTCTCTCCAGAAGGCTCAGGATGGAAAAGGAAAGATCCCTTTGACTGGTCTCTGTGAGATAATTGAGCTGTCCAGGTGTTAGTTTTCTCTCAGGACTCAGTACTTTTTCAGCAGTCCCTTCCTAAATCCCAGAAGAGACACCATTTTAGTGCAAGCTAAAAAAATCTCATTTTATTTCCACTGGGATTTGCTAGAAATCTTCCATAATTACACATGTGTGTGTCAGTATTGTATTTCCCTTCAGTATATCTGGTAGCACTTGGAGATTTATAATGTGTGCTGGGCTTCACTGTTTATTGCTAAACCACAAGTACACTTCTTTCTTCTCCCTCCTTCCCAGGTACTTCTGAGAGAATATCAAGGTGCTGCTCTCAATTTTCCCTTCTCCTTAACACACACACACATCTAAGCTCCAGTCAAGTATTTATTTGCTTTGATTTCAAAGATGATATCTACCACAGAGCTCATTTTGACAATGTGCAACATTGTCAGAAAACTACTGAGAGAAAAATTGAATCCAGCAGTATTCAAATACCACTGAAGAGAATAATCAGCCAAAATTAAAGCTTCTTCCTATGGCTATCATTCTTCCCCTCCCTCTGAACCTACAGCAAACACGTTTTGCTGTGTGCACAGAATACATCAGAATCCTTGTGTGGTTTCCTTATTTTCTGTGAAAGCCATCATTTCTTTCCATGTGAGAAGCTTAACCTCTCCTGCAGACCATCCTAGTTGCTGGATGTGTTTGTTTTCTTCATGAAAATAATATTTTGATTTTCCTTCTGTATGAGCCCGATCTTAATAACTCCTTTGTGATTTTTATTCCTACTTCAGTTTTTAAAATCTGTGGCTCAACACTGTAAGAACTAAAATACGTAACATCGTATCAACATTTCCTAAGGTTAAATTAAGAGGATAATATTTTACCTTTCCCTAGTCAGAGAAAGCTCAACTAAATCCTTCTTCTTCAGTTGTTCACCTTTCTGTCTGTCACAGAGGGAAAAAACCCCTATGCTGCCTTCTGCATGGTCTCCCATGCAGGGTATATTTACAGGCTCTCTAACCTCATCCTTAATGTCTTGATTCTGCTTTTAAGTGCCTCTTCTCAAATCCCTTTTAAATCCCACTTCCATGTTACTTTCACAAGCGATGTATTTTAAGGTGCACAGATAATTCAGCCTATTTGCATTTTTCCCATCACCTGTACCTGACCTAACCTACATCCCCAAAGTGAAGAATGTGGCTAAACAGGGTGTTCTGTTATTTTTACCAGAAAGAGCTTAAAAGTAGAGTACCTACCACATTATGAAAGGATTAAACATACAGATTTTCTGTGATTGTGAGGACAGCTCCAGTAAAATCATGACAGATTTAGACATGGAAATCTTAGACATTGGTAGCTCTAGTGAATGAGATTTACAGGTGGAAACCACAAGAGAGTAATTGGTGCTAATGAATGCCTCAACTGAGTGCTGTTAGGATCATAAGGATGACGTTAGTTACTGATATAGAATATTATTAATCAAATCACATTGATCTGATTACTAATCAGTGGAGAAACCTTGCCAGCACAGAGCGAGAAATTGCTATTTGCGAGAAGGTGTGATGGAGCCAGAGTTTTCCTGTGTACTTTCCACTGGGACCAAACATGTCTATTGCTTTACTTTCCTTGCTGTAGGATTTTTCTGGCAACAGTAATAGGTATAGAAAAAAGCTGAAAACAAAACCATTCACACCTTTGCAAACCCTTTGTATGGCACCGCTACAGGGGATCAGTCGTGCAGTCAGGCCCCGGGTTCAAGCTGTGCACCCAAGCTTTGGAAACGATGCGTGGAGGCCATTAGACACCTCCAAAACAGGCTTTACAAAAGCCGACACTAAGGTAGCTAAGAGGAAAGGCTGAGGAGAAGGAATTAAGCCTAAACTCCCATGGAATGTTACACTTTGCTCGGGGCCAGACTCAACGCAAAGTATCTCTCAGGAGCTGGCGCCATGTCAGTGCAGTAATTTCTGATACAAAAAAGTGAGGAGGAAATCCTTCTCATTTTCTCTCCCTCCCCTAACACCATACAGTGATCAGAGCACTTAAGCTGGATGTTACCGATTCACTTTTTACAAAGGGCATTTGGATTTGTGTGGCTCTGTACACTGTAGCACTGTCTTAGTGCCACGGGAAATACCCTGATCTGACTGCCTAAGGCATGCAGGCCTCCAGGGCTAGCCATAACTGAAAGTGGAGAAGAACAGGTGTGGATTTTATGTATGTATTTTTGTCATTAGTGGCATGAATTCCCTGTGCTGGAGACACAAATATGTTATAAACATACACGTATGAGTGCCCCGTCACGGTCTCAGCCTCAGTTGGGAGAGTCATTGCCTGGTTTTGTAAGATTGGGTAGGTTAAGTTCAAGATATTACCAAAGGAAATAGCAAAAAAACCCCCATCTCTGAATCATAGTTGGAAAGTAGACTGTAAAAATAGATAAATAAAGAGTCAAGTTTCAATGCTCATTTTGGTGGGGATTTTGTCTGGAGATCTTGGCAGGAGAATATGAACAACTGTTACAACTCAAAAAAACACCACCACTTTTAATTGTGCAGGTTGTGGGAGCACAGATCTGATTCACTATGTATTCTTAACGTAGGAGAGGAGAGTAAGGTGTGAGAGACTGACACCTGAGACCTTGGTTTGGGGGATCAGAGGGTGGGGGCACTGAGAACACGGGGTAGAGACCTTGCTTGAGAGGAGGCATCTGGTAGAAGGCAGAGGCAGAGCAGAAGGCTGGGCTGCTACAGCTGCCAGGGCTCACCCAAGTACAGTGAATGACTAGGGTTTAAAACACAATGTTCCTCTGCACCCCAAGCATGTGGAAAGGACTGAATTCAAGGATCTACTTTTGTCCCATCATCAATTAAAACCAAGATGTCTCTCTAATAATGTGCTAAAATACTGTCTTTCTCTAGTTATGCCATGTTTTTATTATGGGTGCTTGGGACAGAGTAGCAAGTCTAAAATGTGTGTGGATGGGACACGAAACCCAGTGAAGTTGTGTTTAGGGATGATGATGCCATTTACCACAGCTCTGTGGAGAACTGCAGTTGTGTGTACAAGGGGAGTTGAAGCTACATAAATCTGGGCTAAGACTAAGGCTGGGTAAGCCTAGTGCTCCTGACAGCTGGTGCCCAGCTTCTCATTAACAGAACACTGGAGGCAGGACAGCGTCAGCAAGGATGGCAATCAGTTATTCCTGCTGCATGTGAAGAGCCTCACTGCACGTCACCTGACTTGCTCCAAACTTTCTGAATTTGGAGAACCCCGGCGCCCCATGGGGAGGATGGCAGCAGAGCACCCTGGCTATGGGGTAGAATGAGGAGCTGGAAGCACTGGGAAAACCTTGTTCCAACATAGACAGTTCCAGGAAAAGGTCTGGGATGGCATCTGCTTTGCCTCTTGGTCCCTGTATCCCTGTGGCATCCCTGGCAGAGCTGCACACCACGCCAGTGCATGCAGCAATAGGGTCATAGATCCTGGTACTTGCTTTAGGGATTTCCACAACCCTCCCCTAACTCAGTTCAGTGTTACTAGCAAAATGACAACTTGCTCACCCAAGCATTCAGGTGCTTATTCGTTTTTTAAGCTGTAAATTTAGGACATTATCTTCGTTGTATACCTGAGGGCTGCTCCTCAGTTGCTTGCTTTCCTTCATTTCTCCTCGGTGTTTAACAGCTTGCCTTTTCCTTCCGTGGAGCTGGAGTGATTTTTGGTGTGTCATCTTGGGGACTGCTCAGTAAAGCTCTCAGCCACGAAAGGTCAGGCATGCCATAGAAATGACTATTAATAGGTCTTTAGTGCTGGTTATGTCTAAACCTGAATTTCTTGGAAAAAGGTAGCTTGGGTCCCCTGACCGATGGCTCTCTCGACTATTGTGAAGGTGAAAGGCCAGACCAGCATCCGTGGGGTGTCCCTCTGAAACACACCTCCTGCGAGTGGGGACACAGGGTGCAAGGGGGTAGTTAAAGGAAGATAAAAGCTGTTTAGTCACTGCTGCGTGTGGGACGAGGGTGCACTTGCTGTAGACGAGCCTACTGCAAGCCGGTGTCCTGGGAGCTGTCTCTTCCAGCCGGTACCGCCGGCTCCCGGGGGAGCCGGGCAGCGGCAGCATCTTTGGAGGCACGGGCAGCTCTTCCCTTCCAAAGGGTGTCCGGGTTCCTTGATTCCGGCAAACACAGACGTTTAAAATAAGATTTTGTTCATCCATCCTAACGACGCTGGCTCTATGTATATTCGGTGCCTGGGGCCGAGCAAGAGAAGTCCATCTCGAAAAACCGGGAGCGACCTGGGCCCGTCCCGGGATCCGCAGGGCCACCCTCCTGCGGTGACCAAGAGGCCCACCCCTGTCCCTCGGAGCTGCGGGGGGAGCCGAGCCCGGCCGGCCCGGCCCGACCCTCCGCCCCCCGGCGGCGATGTCCGCCCGGCCGGGAGCCGACGCGCCGGGCGGAAGGAGGGGAGGAAAGGGGAGGGGAGGGCAGGGGGTGGGCGCCGCTGCCCCCCCGTCCCCGCCGGCACGTGCCTGCCGCCCCTCGGGCCACTGCCGCGCCCCGACGGCCCCGGCATGGACGCGCCCGGCCAGCAGCCCGCCAGCGCCCCGAGCGGGCCCTGAGGTCGCGGCGGCGGGACGGGCTCCGAACCCGAGCCCAAGCCCAAGCCCAAGCCCAAAGCCGAGCCCGAGACCCGAAGCCCAGGCCGGAGTCGGCCATCGAGGAGGAGGAGGAGACGGCGTATGTGGAGATCGCGGCTCGCCGCGGGGGCCAGAGGAGAGCCACCAGAACCCCGAGCTGGCCCCGGCCGGCCGGCGTGGAGCGAGCGGCCGGTCCCGCACGGGACAGCGGAGACGGCGGCACTGAGGATGGCGGCTCGGCGAAAGGTGGATCCCCGGGGGAGGCGACGGGGCCAGCATCCTCGGACAGCGGGAGGGATCGCCGCCTTCCCCGGCGGAGGTGGCGGCGGCGGCGGGATGCGGAGCTTGACACCGGCCCGGCCCCGGCTCCGGGGGAGGCGTCAGGCAGCGTGCGGGCCGCCGGAGCTGGGGGCTGCCCGGAGTCCTCCTCCTCCTCCTGCCCTTCGCCGGTGACTAAGGCGGACGGCTTTCCCGCAATGGGCGACCCAGTGTCAACGGAGGGCAAAACCTCCTCGTCCTCCTTCGGATACGAAAGCGAGGAGGAGGACGAGGTCGCGGGGCGCAAGGCGACCCCCCCGGGACCTCCCCCGGGCACCCCCCCGGCGGCGGCCGCGACGAGGCGCACTAATATCAGCACACAGGAGATCCAGCTGAGCGAGGTGGACCACGACATGGACTTCGACGCGGGGCTGGCCGCCCGCTGGGACTTCGAGGATAACAACGTGATTTACTCCTTCGTGGACTACGCCTCCTTCGGGAGCGACGAGACCCCGGGGGACACGCTGACGGAGGAGGAGGAGAATAGCTGCTACCTAAGCACGACCACCAGCGACCCCAACAACCAGACGGACAGCATCGACAACACCAGCAGCACCGAGATCGTCAGCCTTACCTCCGAACACGACACCCCCGGTGGGGACAAGCGCGCCAGCTCGGGGGAAAGCCGGTCCAAGCAGTCCGGCCGCCCCGGCGGGAGCCCGGCCGCCCAGCTTCTCCTATCAATCAAAGCCGCTTCCCGGGCTATAAATGAGTCTAGCAACGTGCGTGGAAAGCAAAACACTGTTTACGCTGCCAAGCATGAAGGCGACATGAGCCTCCGTGTCGCCGCGGCTCCCGACCGCAATGCGAGTTTAAAACAGGACGCGGTCCGCGACCACACGAAAAAGTTCATCGCGGTCCCCGCGCGGCTGCAGACCCGGTGCGGGGCCGCCAGGGCAGGGGAGCACTCGAGCGGCGCCTCCAGCGCCGTCAGCGAGCTGGACGATGCCGACAAAGAGGTGCGAAACCTTACAGCCAGGGCTTTCCGCAGCCTGGCGTACCCCTATTTCGACACCCTGCGCCCCGGCTCCCGCGCCTCCTCTGCCTCCCTGCCCGACAATGCCCTGGGCATCAACCGCTGGTCCACCTACCTGGACCTCAAGTGTGGCAGTCTGGGACCGAGAGCCGAACCCAGCTTGCTGCGCTCCGGCCGCTCGCAGACCAAAGCCCTCGAGTTCGTGGTCAGCAAGCTCGACGGGGAGATCGCCCACGTCGAGTCGCCGCGGCGGCTGCGGGCGGGCTCCCGGGTGGTGACCCTACTGGACCTCGGCGATGCCGCCGAGGCCGGGGAGCCGCCAGCGGCAGAGAGCGGCGGGAAGGGATCCAGCAAGAAGTCCAAGTTCGCCTCCAGCCTCCTCAAAAACGTCATCTCCAAGAAGATGCAGCTGGAGCACGAGTTCAAGATGGAGCGGGGTGAAATCACCGACA